GTGTTATCTGACATTGTACCACAAATTCTTTCTGTCAGACGTGACAGTTTACAGTCCCTCCAACAGATTGTACCATATCCTCAATAACATCATTTTACTTGTTTCCAAAACCATCAAAACAGGTATGAAGTGATATCTATTATGATTTTAGTATGTAATTCCCTGATGATTAACGTTGAAAACTTTTCTCATATAGCTGTTGGCCATTTATATGTCTTCTATGGAAAAATGTTTATTTAGGTCTTTTCCCCCTATTGTATGGTTTCTTTATATACTCCATGCCAGGTGGCTGGCTGCTTTCTGTGCACCAAGGCTGTCACACTCAGATAGGGTGCCACAAGTTACAGAAGTTTTTCTCAGAGTCTCCAGGACAGCAGTCCAAAACAGAAGTGTCTGCAGGGCTGGGTTGTCTTTCCCTGCTTAGAGCTGGTCGGTCACCTTCTCATTGTGTCACAGATGGCCATGGTGTACGTCATGTATGTTACAGTGTGTTCTCTTATAAGGAAGGACATCAGTTGTACTGGATTAGGGCTCCAACCTTAAGGTTTCATTTGAAATTTGATAATGTACAGTCATTATACTAAATAAACAGCTTCCACTCCTGCAAAGCAATATGACTTTTTGTTTGTGTATTGTGGCTACAACACAAGGTCTTTCCTAAAAGGGCAACCAAATGATTTCAGGTCTGTGGGTTGATGTAGGTCTGAAAACTGAGTGAAAGGTTGTACCTCTCTACTGTGGTAACTAAAGTCAGAGTTTGGCTAACTGATCTAGAATTCCATGTGTTAAAGTAGAAAGAATTCTCTCTTTAGGCTGCCTATGTATTATGTTCTAAAGCCATCTCTGGGCCCAGGCTGTCTGCTACTTGTAAAGATGAATGGCTTTTTGATTACTCTGACTTGGTTGGTTAAGTGCTGCTTGTCTTCTGCTGTTCTGGAATCCTGTCATCTTCATGTAAATCAGAGAGGCCAGCTAAACAATGCCATCATCTACTGTCATACCTGGCCCGCAGGGGCAGACTCTACAGAGACGTTTTAAGTGTCTTTCTCAACACTTCAGTGAAGGGTGTATCTTCTGTGTCCCTGCATGGAGCACAGCTGGGGGATGTTTGCACGTTGCATATGCTATATCCAATGCAATATTTGTTTTTCTCTAACTCATTGGCTTTCCTTTTTCACTTCATGTCATGAAGCTCTGGTATCTCAATCTCCTAAACTACCCATCAGTCAAATAATCTCCATATGCATGAGGTAAACGCCTAAGAGCAGAAATACACTAAAGACAAATTTACTTCTTTTTATTTTCTGCATATTGGTATTTTGCTTGCTTGTGTGCATGTGTGCCATATGCATGCAGTGCCCAAGGAGGCCACAGGAGAGCATCAGATACTCCGAGTTGAGGTTAGACTGGGTTCTAAGTTGTCATATTGGTGCTGGGAGCACAACTTGAGACCTATGTAAGAGCCATAAGTGCTCTTAACCAATGAGCCATCTTTCCAGCCCTGAATAGCAATACATTTTGACTATATCCAGTGTTACATTCTATCTTTCATGGCCCCAAACCCTTAGAAACTATTTCTATATATGGTTCCTAGATTGTTGTCAACATTTTAGATACAATTGTAGTTATTTGGGTGTGTGACTTGTAGTAGAATATTTTAACTTGTGTTAGTTTTGTTCATGTTGCATTTGTTTAACTCTGTGAGGCTGTGTTACTGTGCCTGTCTAAAACACCTGGCAGTTTAATAAAGAACTGGCCAATAGCAAGGCAGGATAGGTGGAGCTGGCAGGCAGAGAGAATATATAGAAAGAGAAATCTGGTAGGAGGATCTGAGATCTAGAAGCCAGAGGTGGAGGAGGAGGAGGAAGGAGAGGAGGAGGAGGACTCCTCCAGGGTCCAGCTACCCAGCTACTCAGCAAGCCACTGAGTAAGAGTAAAATTTACAGAAGTTAGAGAAAAGGGAAAGCCCAGAGGCAAAAGGTAGATGGGATATGTTATGATAAGAAAAGCTAGCAAGAAACTAAGCCAAGCTAAGGCCAGGCATTAATAATTAAGAATAGGCCTCCATGTGTGATTTACTTGCGAGCTGGGTAGTGGGCCCCTCAAAATAGAGTAAAAAAAAAGCAACCAATAACAGTGAATTATTGCTCCATTCTATTCCAAAAGAGCACACAATAAAATGTGATCATTGTCCCAGGTATAGGGGCTCAGAAGTTGACTGCTAGTTTTTTTGAGAAAGATACAAATTCTATGTCAAGGAATCCACCCTGATGAGGACAGTTACTTCTGGTAGATTTTTGTAGAAGAGTATTTTAGGAAAACATACATGTGCATACAATCCCCCTAACCTTAAATGACAAGATTTTTTTTTAAATTTTTAACTTTTTTCATTATAAGGATATTTTGCCTGTATGTGTGCCTGGTGTCCAAAGAGACCAGAAGGTGCCAAATTCTCATATGGAACTGGAGTTACAGATGGTTTCAAACTGCTATGTGGGTACAGAACCCAGGTCTTCTAGAGAAATAGCCAATGATCCAAGCACTAAGCCATCTCTCCAGTCCAAACTGACAAGGTTTTCAAGCAAAGAAAACCCAATGAGCTAGCTACAGAGTGACAACCGATTCTACTGGTGACCACACAGGTATGTGTTGGGAGAGGGGTAGGGACACACAGGGCAGGACTGCTAGATTTATCTGTAGCTGACTCATTCCAAATTTTAGGATTTTATCATTCACCAATTAATCTATCCACTTTTTAGAGGAAAAAAAAAAAGCTTGTTGTTACATCTGTGAATTCAATAGCGAACAATAAGTTAGCCATTCCAAAACCAAAATAGAGCTTTTGGTTCTCAGTTATATAATTCTCATTGCTACAAGAGAGGTTCTCCTAGAATCGTTACGGAATCTCTTTGATTCTCATACCATAGGAGAGCTGAAGGACCTGGGCTTGCCATTTCTCTTTATAAGCATTCAGAAGTACTCCAAGGCATCCTCCCCGACCATTGTCCTCATTGTCCCTTTTGTAGCCATGAAGTCAAACATAGGTGTCACCCCCCCCCACCACCACCAATGGATTTGCTCCATTGGCATTTCATCAGAATCAACCACAGGTGATTGCTTAATTAACTGAGGTGCTCTTCGTGACCCAAATTATCATTCTATTTCCCTTTGGCAAGGCTCTTTAGGCAAAGGCCAGTCAATCTGACCTTTAAATCCAGTCTTTGCAGGTCTGTCTCTTGGGACTACTTCCTGGACACTGAAGGCTTAATAAAACTAATTCTTAACTCTAATAGGGAATTAAACCACGAGGGATTTCACTAGCAAGAAGAAAACCAGAGAGAATACAGACAGCAGCTGTGGAGAGCCAACCTTATAATTACCTCTTGAGCTGATAAAGGGCTTCCCAAAGACAGCCCTGCCCACCCAGTCAAGGGCTAAGATAAGAGACGGCATGGCAACTGTAGTATGGTTGACTGAGGAACAGAGGAGTCATTGTGATTCTTGCTATGCATTGTTGCTACAGAGTGTCAGGAAAGCTGTTCATGCCTTACGCCATTACACAACTGTTGGCCACCAAGGAGTTTGGGCTTGGAAAAAGTCAAGCATGCTAGGAAGAAACTGCTTATCAGATATATTAGAACCAGGAAGCAAGTTCCTTGATTTCCTGTAATGTCTCTTCAGCACCCTCTACTGACTGAAAGTCCCAGAAGGAGAAGACAAACCTACTTCAAAGGCCCAGATTCATTTTCACAGCGCGCTGAAAAAGGGTGCATTTGGAGCCGAGAGGCTATAATTCAACAGTCGGTACAAGCTTTCCTCAGATCCCTCTCATTAGATTTTGTCGACAGATGTCTACATCTGCCCGCACGAGGCTTTGTCGGCCTCTTTTCCTCCCAGGTTTCCTCCCAGGATGTTGCCAAAAGCAAGAGGAAGAGATGAGTCCAAAAAGGATCCCCCAGATTTCTGGTCTATCTTTCCTAACAGCCCTTCACCGACCCTTCCAGGGCACGCTGATCTGGCTGTTCCAGGAGAGAAGACCCGACCAGAGAGGATGGAATTTGGGCAATGAACCACAGCCCCTCTGGAACGCCGGCTATTGGAACCCTGGAAGCACCCTACTGCTGGCCTCAACGGCTGCAAAGCCTCCTCCCTAGTCACCAAAGCCTCTTGAGGTCTTCCTACTGTCAGGGCCCAGTGAGGCAGGCGCTGGGCGGGCCTGGCGGGCGACGCGCTGTGATTGGGCGCCAGGGGGCCCGCCCCCTCATCCCGGCGCGTCGGGAGGGGGCGGGGCCAGCCGGCTGCCCAGCTCCGGGGCTACGGGCGCCTATTGACCCAACAGCCGCCGCCGCCGTCTCCTCCAGCTCGTGGCGGGCGGTACTGGAGCGCCGAGTGGCGCTGGGGAAGCCGGCTCTTCCTCTCGTGGCTGCCGCCGCCATCTCCGCGTTTTCGGGGCGGGAAGGAGGGGGGGTGCTCACGGCTGCAGCTGGAGCGGGCTCCTCTCCGGGGACGGTCCTCTCCGTGCTCTCTGCTTTGCCTCCCTCCCGGCGCCGCCCGCCCCCCTGCGCCCTCCGCGTGCAGCTCCGGCCCGGGAGGGAGAAGGTAGGGGAGGCGGGGGCCGGGAGAGGCCGGGGAACGGACACACACACCCGAGGAAAGTCCTGGATCGCAGCGCCCCGGAGCCCAAGGTGCACCCCGGCCGGGCCCCCGCAGTAGCCGCGGCAGGAAGGGGCTCCGGCGGGGACGCGGGGGCGGTGTGGCGGGGGCGGGCCTGGGTGTCCCAGCGCTAAGTTGTGGGGCACGGCGCTTCCAGGTCCAGTTCCTCCTTCCGCGCGCTCCTCGCTCCCAGCGCTGCACACCCGGCCCCGGAGCCGCGGAACCCGCGCGTTCTCTGGGCGCCGAGGACACGCCTGCCCTTGTCGAGAAAACTTTTCCTGCCGACTCAGTCGTGGCGGCGGTGGCAGGAAGTCGGGGCAGCGACCTCTCCTCTGCCTGCGCCGCGCGCCCTACTACGGGTGTCGGTCCCCAGCAGGAGAGCAAGTTCGTGGGGACCCTTTCCTTTGCTGCTCAGGAGTCCGCCTTGCAGGGACGGCCAGCCCCGGGGAGGGCAGCGGGCCAGGGCGTAGGCCGAGGGCGCGTGGTGGCTCCGGGGACGAGGTGCGGAGCGCGGCCGGGACCCGCGCTGTAGAGTGTGCAGCCCCGAGCAGAGAGCCCTCGGCGATCGCGGGCTGGAGTCCCCAGTCCTCCGCCTCTCTCGTGAGGACCGTGTCCTGGCTCTGAGTCTATCGAGGAAAAAATGAAGTTAAGTCGCCAGTTCACCGTGTTCGGCAGCGCGATCTTCTGCGTCGTCATTTTCTCACTCTACCTGATGCTGGACAGGGGTCACTTGGACTACCCTCGGGGCCCGCGCCGGGAGGGCTCCTTCCCGCAGGTAAGCACCTGGCGTCGGGGCTGGAGGGCTAGCCTCGGGGGCTCTCACTTCTCGCAGACGCTCATTCTCTCGGCACCGGGGCAGGGTGAGGCCACACCCGACGACCAGCTGAGCCTCATCCGGCCCAGGCTGGGTCGCGCTCGGACCGCCAAGTTCTCAAAGTGCTGGGCGTCGTTCGGTGACAGCTTCGCGCTCTCCAGAAGTGGCCTTGTTCGGGCATTCGCACCCGGGCCTGTGGAGTGCCCTCGGGCACCTGCTGACAGGGAACCGGCGTGGTAGGAGTGTCGCTGTGGGTCGCCCCCTCGGCTGGCTCAGGGTTAAGCTGCCAGAGGCTGCCCAGATCCCCCCTCTTGCGCACAGCCGAAGCGCAGCCCACCTAGCCCACCTAAAAAACCAGGTTTCTGTTTTTGCTCCCGTCCCTCTTCACTGTCTCCTAAGAGAGAAAAAGTTTATTTCCTGTTGCAGCCCTTTTGGACGTGGATAGTAAGTAGCGTTGATTTTAGTGTCGTCATTCTTCAGCTGTTACATCGGGTGATTTGGAGCAGAGCTGGAAGCGCGTGTTATACTCCTGATGGAAGCTGTGCGGCGCTCAGTTCTGTGCCGGGTGGTCACACTGGCAAAGGAGCTGGAAAAAAAAAAAAACGACCCACCCAAGTCTTTCAGGAAAAGTTACTAAAAATAAGCAAATCGATGCACTGGGTTCTGTTTGGAAGGTTATTGCGCAGCAGTTGCTAGTGGCCTTTATAGCTCTTTGCCGTCGACATATACACATTTTAGTGAAAGCAGATGCGGTGTGGAGCACTTGGAAGAATCCAAATATTGACAAGCTAACTGCTAGTCGACTAGAGAAATCTGTGACCTATTCAAACGAGGCTGGTGTTTAATTTTTTTTTTCTTTCACTGTTTAAATGATTGAAAACAATCCTGGCCGCTTCTTCTGATTGATATACGAGGGTTAATGGTTTGGTGGGAACTGAAATTAAAGTACAAGCTTGAAGTATTATGAAATTGAAACGAGGAATGAGGGATGCTGTCATTAGTCCAGAGGACTGGAAATAAGTTTTAGAAGAGTGGAATTAAAAAACCTGGCTGCAGACAGATGTTTCCAAATGTTCACAGCTTCCGCTTTCCCTAGATAGTACGATAGAGAAAATATGTAACAAGCACTATTGGCTGCCTTTAGATTTTGAACTTGGAGTTTACACCAGGCTTGTTGACGAGACTGAAGTAAACAGTTTGACAACAGGTAAATCCATTCAGCCAGAGCCCAGGAGTTCTGAGTTTTGTTCCATATTCTCGGTAATTTAGGAGTTAAACTTACTGTGATCCTCTTAACCCCATTTCCAGAGTTTTCTCCATTACAGGAAATATAAAATGGAACCCTTTTACTTAGTGATGTCTTAATACTATCCTCTGGCTTTGGATGGGTGATCACTTGAGCATGATTTATGCAAACATCTGCATGGGGTTCTCTGGCAACCTTGACATTTCTCTCTGTTTCTAAAGCCGTGAGTGACTCATTCAGTTACTGAGAACTCTTAAGCAGTTAATTCTGTTTCCATGTGAGCCCCCAGCTCACTGGGAAGTTGAGGTTCTGCCTAGAGCGTGCAGCATTCGGTAGGGGGCCGTGGTGGTGGGCTTCAGGAGAAGTGCCTGTAGAGGTGTGTTTTCTGTACAGAGACAGGGCTTGAGAGTGGTAGCCTCTGTTTCGCATCTGGACTTCAACCGTAGAAAGGTTTAGTATTAGCGGGCCACTGAATCTCCCAGTGGGAAGACTTCATAAGCTCTCTCCAGAAGCCTGAGAATCATGTGTTTGGCATTAGCTAGAGTGCCTCCTCATATGATGAACTTGATTTCCTCAACTACCAGTCAGTTGGTGTGGAACTGAGGCACTGAGTGAGGCATTACCATGCTCAAGGTCACAGACAAATTCTAGGACTTCAACAGGCAGCTCTTAGAGTGTAGTCTCAGAGCCACAAAGCTGTCTTGCCTCTTGGAATCCTCTTGCTAGAGCTGGGCTGGAGCCTTCTTGTTGCCTGATCTATGGAGAACAGAAACAAACTTGCCGGTGGCACCTTAACTTATGACATTACCCCCCTCCCGCCCCCCAAGTAACCTTTATTGTGAAGGCATAATGTGGTCCTTTTGCTAAAACATTCACTGCTTCAGATTTATGCTTTCCCAGAATGTCTTCTAACTTACTTCACAGCCAAACATTATTAGAAAGAAAACCATTACCAAGCAGAGCATCCAACATGTAGGTAGGTTCTTTAATTTTTTTTCCCTGTGTCTAAACTATATGTTAACTTTAATTTCACAACAGTGCCAGGCATAGCGAAACTATGTTGCAGTCTGTTTCTTGAGCAGGTTTTGGGGGTGAATCCTTGAGTTTAAGTAGAGCCGGTTTGTCAGTGTATGTGTGTTTAATGCAGCCAGAGGTTATAGTGTGCATTCTAGTTTCTTTCGCTTGATGTGGTAACTTCATTAAGGTGTGCCGTCCATTTAGAATGCAAACTGTATTTAAAGACCATCCTAGGTTGAGAGCGTCTATGTTTGTTGTTCTTTGGACTTTTGTTCTTTCCTGTGTTCTTGCAACTTTGTTTCCTGCCACCTAATTAGTCCTGAGGCTAGATTACTCCAGGGCACCCCAGCTCCGCTCCCACCCCACCCGCATAGCCCTGCCTGCTTGCAGACTACCAAGAGGGCCTTTCCCTTTTAGTGGTTACTGTAAGACCTTCCTTTAAGTGTTACTGTAAGAACTTCTTTAAGGCCAGAGGCTGTGGCTGCAGGTGGCCTACATTCTTAGGGTTATTTGATCTCAACTAAAAAAAATAAAAATAAGTAAATCAAACAAAATTTTTAAAAAAGCAAAGCCAAAAACAAACAAATACAACAACAACAACAACCCTAAACTTGAGTCTGAATGAGAGGTTGGCTGGGACCTATTGCTGTGAAAATGCTTTATGCTAGCCACGAGAGTCTGAGCAGATGGGTTGGAGAAATGTTACAGCTCCCTGAAAGGGCTGGCCATTCTAATTAGCAATTTCTCTAGTTGTTACTATGTACCCTAGGAAAAACTAGAATTGAAACAAGGAATCAGAGTTTGTGTAACAAGGAATGGCTTTGCCTAGGATATCACATGACGTCGGGACTGATGTTAGCATTGGAACGGCTCTGCAGAAGTTAGAGAATAATGAAAAATGTACAAGTGAAGTCCAGACTTGATCTTAGGGCTCAGATAACGTTTATCGAGTGCGAAAATGGGAATGTGTTGATGCACTTGATTTGAAAGCCAATATGGTAAGGGATTTTGATGCCTGGAAAAAAAAAAACCCTTGAAACTATATATATATATATATATATATATATTTAAATGCTTTACACCACTAGTATCTTAAAAGATGCTAAATCACTTGGGAAGCTGAGGCAGGAGTATTGATGCATGTCTTGGGCCAGCCTAAGCAATGTAGACCTTACCTACATATAAGCAAACACCCTCACACAATCAGAACCACGCTACATATAAGCAAACACCCTCACACAATCAGAACCACGCTAGTAATTTTGAGTGCAGTACAGAACATGTTAATAAAAATGGATCCACAGCAGAAGGTATGAGGACCTTCATGTCCTAGCTGCTGTTCCTTGTTTTTATAAATTTTTTAGTCTGAAGCATGCTATATCTAATGAAAGTGTTCCCCCACACCCACCAGGGCACTGTATTTACAATAATAACTGTTGCTGCTAGGGTTTGTTTAGGGAGTACAGTTGGGTTGTCTGGTTTCCTGAGCTATAATGGTTGAGATCTAGGACTTTTGGGAGAGGATGGAGCTTTGATGGCAACCCAGCATTAGATTCAAGAACTTTTAAGAATCTTGAGGTGGTTCCCCTCCATCCCTCCCAAGGTCAGTAGTCTTCTGGGACTTCTCTGAGGTGGGTCTTCTCTATTCCCTCCAGAGGTCAGTAGTCTTCAGGGACTCCTCTGCTAAGCACAGGTCTCAGACTTGGGCTTCTAAGAGTAAGCTGGACCAGATGCCATGGCTAGATTTCATCTGAAGGCTTTATTTTTAAAACTGATTTGCATGTATTGTTCCTAGATCAAGACCTGAAGAAGTAAGTACTTTGATAACAGGTGTCAGGATTCTTTTTATTGGAAGGAGATTGTTCTGTTCATGATTCATTAGCCTTAAGGGATTTCCGCAGTATGGACAGCACGTTGATGAAATTGACCTTTTGTGTGTTTTTACTCTGAGCTTGCTATTGGTTTTTGTGATGTTAAAATGTTTACCTAGAAGACTGAGGGGGCATTCTTGCTGGTCCCTTCTGGTCTCCAGCTTTCTCCATTCAGAGGCCTCAGTTTCCCCTGGTTGTTTCCCTATTTCCATAGAAAACTCTAAGAAAATCAATGGCTAGTCATCTGCTCAGGGGAGCTGTGGTTTCTGACTTATAAAAGGTTTGCTCTATTTTTGCATCCTGATCCTTAGTGGTCCAGGTCGTGATGTGGCAGCGCCTTGTTCATAGTGTTTCTCTAGAACTGTGGAGAGGAATACTATAAAGTAGAGAGCTTTGCTTCTTTCCATAGTTGTCGATAGGAGATCGATCAGGTCAGGAAGCATTTGCATTGACATTAAAATGGGTTTTAATTTCCCTTCCTAAGCCACACTGCTAGTTTTATGGCTGAAACCACGTTCAAGTTTGGACTTGGAGAATGGACTGCTCTGTAATGGAGCACCCTGTCCTTTAGTGAGTACCTGTTGTTGATTTTACCTCCTGATACAGATTCATGACTTGATTTGAATAATTCTGTCTGTTGTGTAAGTCTAGGGGGAGTGATGGAGAGAGGGTGTGTTTAAGGTAATATCCTTTGTACTGGTATACAGATGGGAGATGCCGTCAGTCCTTCAGTGTTAAATTCTGGATTTAACATTTTGTTTCCAATATTGAGGCACTAGAGTTTATAACGACACATGCTACCTCTCCACTCCTTCATTTCATGTTTT